TCTCTGACAAATAAATAAATAAAATATTTTTAAAAATAAAAAGCACCTGTTTTGTTCTCCGTGGCCTCCTAACACCTGGCAATGTAGCAGTGACCAAGGCCACACACAAACGCATGCAACCGACACGTTCTCCAGAACGATTCCAAAGGAAGGGTCGTAACTCAGCGCGTCTCCCCTCCCTGCGGCCCCACCAGGCCCATCTGCACCCTTTCCCATCCGGAGCGGCAGTCGGGAAACCGTCTCCTCCTGCCTTAGGAGAGAGGACGAGTCCTTCCCGTTTTCTCTTCCCCTCCGGAAGGGCCGTTCCCTCCCCCTGGGGCTGAGATGCAGAAGACCGACGTCAATTCTGCTTTGCTTTCTCCTGAAATGCAGATACAGCTTTCAGAGATCCAAACTTTAAAATCAGGGCCCTCCAAACAATATGCAGTTGCAAATGCTAATGAAAGCCGTGACCTTGCAGTTCTGACACCAGCAGAAGGCTCGTTAGCTCCTTGCAGCAGAACGAATCCTCCTCGTCAGCATCAGGAGTCAGACCAGCCAGACCTTCAGCGGTTTTTTGTCACGTCTCTGGGGAGACAGCCTCCCTGCTCTGCGTGCTGCCTAAAGCATCTTGCCACCACATTCTCTCACGGTCTCCTTTTTCCGAGGCCAAAGCCGAAGTACTGTTTGCTTCTGGCCTGTTTGTCTGTCATGGTCCTTGCTTGGAAAAAGAAAAGCCTTAGTTTATGTGGTTGTTTCTTGCAGTCACCAGCATAGAGTTGTTCAAACTGACACTACAGAAAATCCGTTTCTAAATTCTGCAAGAACCTGGAAGGCTCCTAGGTGGCGATTGATGGCGCATGGCATTTAAACAGGAGCTCGGTGATTTTTCACTTTGCAGTTTGAGGAGTGACAACAATTTTGCAGCTCAGAGATACCTAATAAACCAGGGCCACATATATACCAGCAAAGCTATTTGAATAGATCACTTGAGAACACATTAAAACTCCTACTTTGGGATCATTCATTTTACAGAAAAGTTTAACTCCCAAAAATGTTGCCTTTATCATATAGCATATAAATGGTCATGTCTAGGGTGCCCGGGTGGCTCAGTTGGTTAAGCGACTGCCTTCGGCTCAGGTCATGATCCTGGAGTCTCGGGATCGAGTCCCGCGTCGGGCTCCCTGCTCAGCGGGGAGTCTGCTTCTCCCTCTGGCCCTCCCCCTCTCATGTGCTCTCTCTCTCTCTCAAATAAATTTAAAAAAAAAAAAATAAATGGTCATGTCTACATACAGAGTCAGGAAGCACTTTTTACATTTAATATGAGTTTAAGTCTGATACAGTGACTTAAACGTACCGTCAAGACAGGGGTAAAAGATACAATACACTCAGAAAGCACCTCTGTCTTTATTCTTGGAGTTATCTGCTCTCTGGGATTATTCATAAAACTGCCCACTTCATTAATACAGTAATGTGCTCTGCTATCTGGCTTTCCAGTGACCAGTGTTTCTGTACAAGTGGATCTAGAAAGAAGCCTTTACTTGGACCATGTCAGGCTGCTCTGGGTCCTTCCCTAAGAAGCTAGCCACGAGAATTCTGACGCTAGAGCTTTATCCCTTTAGTTTATGAATTTGCCTCCGTCTGAAGACCAGCCTGTCAAGGAAAGGTATTATTTTAAGCTGAAAGAAGTCATCCTTGTGATAAACCAACTTACGTGTGTTATAGTAACTGCAAGCCATCAGTTGGGAACTCTTCATTAATTCCAGTACCAAATCTGCACACCTGTGTACAACACATACCATCCTGCTTCCCCTGTCACGGTCAAGAGCCATCCCTCCTCCTGCTTTTGAGGAGGAAGGCTTCTCTGTCCCTGGACCCCAACCCCTCCTGCTTCCTCGGGACTCCTGCACCATCAGCTGAGCCTCCTCCCTCCTTACGTAGTTTCCTGCCACCACCACCTCATCCGGATTCTTTCCATTAAACGCGCCCAGTCTTCTCCCAGTAAAAAGTATAAACTTCGCCAGAGCCCCCTTCACCCACAACTCTCTCATCCAGCCAAGCTTCGGGAAGAATCGTGCATACTTGTCCATTTTCTCACCTCCGTTCTCAATTCGCTCCTGCCTGGCTTCCCTTCCCTGCTCCCCCTGGCAGAGCTCTAGGCGAGGTTGCTGCAAGCCCAGCTGGTGTTGATCCCCGTGGGCCGTTTGCGAGGCTCGCCTGACCTCTCGGCAGCACTCAGCACCCTGGGCCGGTCATGCCCATCTTCCCACCTCGCTTCCGGGATGCGACGTGCTGGGTGTTGTCCTGCCCTCTCGCCTCGTGGGCCACGCGGCCTGGCCCCTGCCTGTTCCCCACCTTCCTTCCTCCCCTCGCTGTCTCCACTCCAGCACCGTGGCTCCATCCGTCTGTCCTTCCCATCGGGACACCGCGTCCCTTCCCCTGGGACCCCTCTCCTGACATAATTTGGTCAGAATCCATGCCCAGGTGGCTCCCGTTGGCAGCCTGTTACTACGGTTACATTTCATACTTGCTTCCCTGACTACCTGATCAGTGACTGCCTCCCCCAGAGGCAGGACCTTGATCCGTTCTTTTACTCATCCAAGTGCCCAACCCAGAACCCGGCCCGGAGCTGGCCTTCACCCAGTAATTTGTAAAATGAACAAACGCATTTATTTAAATATTTTAGTATGTATTTTATTTACTTATTTTCCTATCCCCACCGCCACCCCCACCCCTGCTCACGCTCCATAAATGAATTCACATTTGGATGTGGCCGAGTACATAGCCGCTGTTTCTAAGAACCATGCCTGCACGAGACAGGGATGACGTCAGCCTTAGCCATTAAATTACTAGTTATTATTTGCAGTGGAGTCCAATACCTTGTCCACGGAAAGTAGGTTCAGAGCGGAGCCAGAACTAGAACCCAGATCCCCTAACTCCTGAGCTGTTTGTGCTTTGTCATCATGATGCCAGAGTATGATTTTCCTACCCTATCTCATTTTCAAAACCAAAACACCTCACTACCGTACGTGTCCTTGGGGAGGGCGTAGCTCCGTTTGATCGCTGTGGTTGGCCTCGATGTTCTCAGACCCTTTTAGGAGAAATGAAACATAAACAGGGGGCCTCACTCGAAAGCATGTGTCTTTAAATCTAAGGTTGCCCAGCAGACAGAATTTGCTGTGCATGTAGTTCAGTCTCTCATCCTTTTGTCCCCTCCAAATGTGACCCATGAGAAAAAACAAAAACGAAAAAGCCAGCACAGAACCAGGCAACGGATCTGGCGACAGAATCAGTGGGCTTCTCAGCACAAGCCAGTGGGGGAACGTTCTGCAGACGCTTCTGGGCATAAGACTTCTGGGATGCAAGCTCCACCTTGAATCGGGAGCTTATTCAAAACCTACTGACCTACAGCCCTAGCGACATCCAGAGCCTGGGTTCCGCCAAGGGGTCCCTTGAAGCTGGCTGCCCATCCCTACAAACGAAGCGAGGATTCTGGGGGAAGATAAATGGAAAGGTGGGGCAGAGCCTCCACGCAGCTCATTCTGAGCAGAGTCTGCATTCCAGACCAATGACACAGTTTCCTCCCGAGGTCTGAGAGTGCTATTTTAGGAAAGACTTCGAGACTCTGGAGTCCCAATTTAGAGTCTCCAATATTGCAAATTTCCAAATATACAGCGGGCCCTGGTCGATGGGAAGAAATAGTGTCTTCATGGGACATTTGGAAGAACAAATGACTAACGAACACGACAGTGGGCTTATAAACTGAACAACACTTCGGAATACAATTTCCAGCCATTTCCAGGGTGCTGTAGATTTTACCGACCGGTATCTGAACGGAAATCCTTCCGTGCCCTCCCTAGAGCATCAATGGTGATGCCATTGGGGGTCTCTCAGAATCCAGGGCAATGAGGAGAATTGCAGGTGACAAGAAGCGTTCAATGTCAACTCTTTGCACTCAGTAACTCCATGGACTTTCTGTTTTCACTCCGGGTCTCTCCTGAGATCCCACGGTGTAAACGCCTTGCCACCTGGAGACACAGGTGCCGATACCCGGGGAGGAAGCACAACCTGTACTCCTGGGGGAGCGCCCCTTAGGTCCCAGTGCAGGCCGCCGAGCAGCTCGCGACTCCTTCCGCAACTTTCTCCTCTCGCACACGCCTCCTCCCATGGTGTGGAGCAGGATGCTCAACTTTGCAGGGTCGTTAAATAATTGCCAGGAGCTTCAAAATACAAAAACGTCTCTGTGAATACGGGGCCCCACTGTTTGTGTTGCTCATTCCTGGTGCTTTATCCGCCCACACCAGCTTGCACTTGTCCTCCGCAGGGCCCTTCCCAGTCTCCGGTGACTTCTGCTGGGACGCAGGGCCACCATCATCCGTCCCCGCCCCCCCCCACTGTTGCATCACAACCAGTTGATGCCCCTGCTGCCATGTCGCACTGGGTAGGGCCCCATGACGTGCCAGGGTAGGAGAGACATTGCAGTTCCTGCTCCTTTGTCCTTCCCCGTCTAAGGCGGCTCTGGTGGGGGTGGGTGGGGACAAGAAGAAGAGCGTCTATTGTTCTTCGCAGACAGGACACGCTGTCTTGTGTCTCCCCGGGGCCATGAGCCTCTTTCTGTCCTAACTGGATCTGCACAAACATGGCAAGAAGCGAGCTCTCACCCTGAGGGGCGGGTAGAGGCCACTGTCCCGAAGCGAGGAGGCCGCATGAAAGAAAGGGGCCTCTGTGACGAGAAGCGTCCACTGGCCCGGAGGCCCCGGCGGAGCAGGGCTGGGGAGGGGCGGAGGACGGGAGGAAGGAGGAGGGTCAGCTTGGTGTGACATGACGCAGGGTGCCTTTCCTGGGGTTGAAATTGAGGAACTGAGGAGGCGGTGGTGGTCAGAGCCCGTCTCGCACGGCACAGGATGGGGCAGGAGCTGCAGCCTCTCGCTCCGCCTCATGCACCTACAAGGGCCGGGGAGATTAATGACCCAAGGAGGCTATGACGCGGTCCAAAAACGTTTCCTGGATCTTTTCCGCAGGCGGCTGAGCCAGAGGCCGACGGCGGAGGAGCTGGAGCAGAGGAATATTCTAAAACGTAAGTGACTCCGCCCGCGGCCGTGTGCCGGCTTTGGCTCTTGTTCAGTGTGTGGGCCACAAGCCTGTGTGGAAATGACGGGTGGTCGGCGCTCCATCCTGGCGTGTTAGAACATCCCAGGCAGCCTGCCCGGCAGAGGAGGCAAACCCGAGTCCGCTCGGCTCGTTGGACGCTCGCAGACGGCGAGAACCACCTTCCCCTTGGTGGACGATGAAGCCAGAGAAGGTGTACTGCTGGGGCCAGGGACTCACTCAAATGATTCCGAGCAGCACTCGGGTCACCGTCAAACCGAAACTGACTTAGAAACCACAGATTCTGTCTCGATGGCTGAAAGGCGGACGGCCGTTTGCAGACTGGGGCTGGAAACCGTGACTTTTTACGGCAGCTGCATGCTGTTGATAAACCCCCCGCCCTGCCTTCGAAAATTAGATGTAAAGTCTAGGAGAGCACTTCCAAGTGAGGATGCTTCACGTCCACCTCTCGGGACTCCTGCCGCCAGCCCAAGGCAGGCTGGCCGAAGGCGCTCTCTCTGCCAAGAGAGACTCAGCGGGCCCCTTGTGTGTTTGGTTCAGGACGCAGAGATACTTGAATATAGAGAGGGAATCCCCTTGGATTCCCTACTACAAGAAACAAGCATCTCAGGGACACCAGGATTCCTCCGCGTGGTGGGAGATATTAAATAATTTAGAAAACGAAACCTCCCTGCCCACGTCTGCCCCATCATCATTACGACTCTCACCAACACTCTCCCCGAGATGGTCAACAAATAGTATTTTTAGTTTAATTCATGACCCTTCCTCCCCCCACACATCCGCTTCTAAGTTCTCCCTAGGAAAGAGAGACACATGCCATGTGGAGTTTCCTAGGAATGCCAGGCCATGTGCACGCATGCGTGTGTGCACGCACAAACACACGCATGCACACACAAACACACACGCACACGCAATCACATGAAGCCTCAGTCTGAGTGGCTGGATATTTCCACTTAGACCAAACTAAAAGGTTCTTGATCTTCCTTTTCTTCTTCTCCCTACTGTGGTCTTGGTCGGTTTTGAATGGCTTGCTGAGCGTGGGCCGCTGAATTTCCCCTGGGGAGGGCTGTGGGGAGAGGGGTGGCCCGCAACCCCGGGCCTCTGTCCACCTCCTGCCTCCCTGCTCTGGGCCAGCTGCCTCCTCCCCAGCTCTCGGCGGGCATGATTTTCAGGACTGGCCTTCCTGTGTTGGCTGCACCTCACGTAATTCCTAGGTCTCTAGGAATGTGTGTATATTTTTTTTTTTCCAACCACGAGGTGCCCTTAGCAGTTTCAAAGCTTCATATGCTATAAAAGGAATGAGAACTTTTTCAGGTGATTTCCACGGTCGGGGAAGCATTTGGCCTCCTTTTCTGCCCCAATCTGATACCTGATCCATTATAACCTTTCCGTTGTTGGAAAGAAAAACAGGTGTCCGTTTATTCTGGAAGTGGGAAATTGGGCAAACATGCTTCCTTCCCCCTCTGCCTCTTCACCCACACACACCCCCAACACGGATCTGTTGTTTTCTGGAGGAATCTCGCTACAGTGTTTGGTGGCCCCCAACCTGCTCCCAAAGGGGCTGCCACTCTCTGTGGGACTGTTCAAGTTGCAGAAAATAGTGTTTCTCTCAGCAAGGGCTCGGGTTTGGGAACGAGGAGGCCCAGCTCCCGCCTGCTGCGTGCCCAGCTCCCTGGGAGACCACGGGCGGGGCCCTCGTGGTGGGTTTTTCTTGCCATCTGGAAAGAGACCCAGATCTCAGAGGCGGTTACATGAAGCCTCTGGAAAAGGCACACTAGGCGGTCTAGGAAGCCTGAGGGGCTTAGGTTCAGGCGACCCAAGCGGTGACATTAAAACATTGTTCCCAGGGTCCCCTTTGGTTCTAGTCCCTCTTCCTTCTTATCCCGTTCAAATGGCCAAATTAAAGAACTGCCTGACCAAGTTCAAACAGGCCGATCGTTTCAGTTTTGGAACTTTTCAGAAATGAACGTCTATTTTCCTATTTCCATTAACTCTTCTTTTTTTCCCTGCATTCTGGAACTTAGTTTTCCTAAGAATTTTTTTTTTTTTTTTTTCCCATCTCCCTTCTGTGGAACAAGAAACTTTTCATGATATGAGAAAACACCCTCACGCAAATTATGCCGAGCCTGGCTCTCTGGGCCTTCGGTCCCTGGGGGAACCATCTGTGTGAGGTGCCCGGCTCCACGGG